CATTCTGTTTCTTTCCCATTTTTTGTTCACCGCCTCCGAGCTGCTCCGGCTCCCAGGTCCGCGGCTTCTCCGGCCCTGCGCGCCTCCGGCTCGAGCCACATCCAAGGAGGAGGAGGAGGCTGGAGCGCCGCGGCGGGGCCACCGGGGGTGGGGGCTGTCTATCATTTCTTATTGACCATCATTCTTGTGTGTCATCGTTTTTCTTTAAGGGTTTTTTTTTTTTCTAAAACTTACTTAACATATCAAGTAGTGTTTCTTTTATAAAATCTCATGTCATTAAGCATGAATCTTCTCTCCAACTTTTAAGTGCCCTATTCTTGGGCTAGGCAGCAGTGTAATTTTAGAAAGTTGTTTAAAATGAGTAGTTTTTGGTAAAGAACAAGGATTAGCATGCCAAGAAGTATTGCTTTTCTCCCCAGTTCTTGAGTTCTCTGTGGAATCAAAACTTTACACTCAACCCCTTAGTTTGAGCTTCCCAACAAAGACACAGCTTCTTGGATATATTTTTAGTAGCTCATATTGAGTGTTCTGTTGTACATAGGGGCACCAGCAGCCAGGAAATAAAAAAAAACATATCACGATGGGAAAGTCTGCTGTTAGGGACCTCTCTAAAGTACTCAAGAGCAATGGTGTCTCTCTGGAGACTAAGGTGCACCTGATACAGGCCATGGTCTTTGCAATCACTTGTTATGCATCAGAGAGCTGGACAATGACTAGGGAGGACAGAAAGAGAATTGATGCCTTTGAGCTGTGGTGCTGGAGAAGAGTATTGAATGTACCATGGACTGCCAAGAAAACAAGCAGTTTCATCCTGGAGAGGGTTAAACCAGGCTACTCCTTGGAGGCAACGATTCTGGGGCTTCGTCTGACATACTTTGGACATGTTGTTAGGAGAGACAGGTCCTTGGACAGGGACATCATGCTTGGTAGGGTGGAGGGACAGCGCAGGAGAGGAAAACCCTCTATGACGTGGATTGATTCAGTGACTGGGGTAATCGGGATGGTGTGTCAGAGGCAATGCGATTGGCACAGGATAGAGCAAGGTTTAGGGCTGTTGTACATAGGTTCGCTATGAGGTGCAAACGACTTGACGGCACATAACAACAACAACAACATATTGAGTGAAAGGCTCAATTCTTTGATTCTGTTTTTTTTTTTAAAAAAAGAAACCCACAAAACCCAACAGAACACCTGGTGCCCTAGTGGCAAGAAGCTGTACTGCAATCCTGAAGGCACACAGTTCATATTCACCAGATGCTCCACTGGAGAAAGATGGACAATCTCCTGTGCCAGTCAGACCTAATTTGACCATACGCAACAAGTAAAAAAAAAAAAGGCAAAAAGAAAACATAGAAGAACAACGAAACAGCAGAACACTTTTTCCTCTGAATAACTGAGGGTCACTGCATCCTTATTTATATCAGAGGCAGCCTCTCTACCTTGATTTTAATCTGTATGGATACAATTGAGATCATGAGATCATGATCAGATGAAACTATCAGGCACTGCTACTGATGATCTCTTGGGTCTTTTTACAGACAGAACATGTCAATGAAAAACTGAATGCCAAACTAGAAGAGCTCAGGAAGCATGCAGCGTAAGTTTCCTTCTAGATATTTGTTATTTTCCTCTACCTTCTTAGTATATAATCATGGATCCTCCACCCTCAATAGTGTGATTAATCATGAAATTAATTTACTTGATTTTTCAGCTGTAAATTGGATCTTCAAAAAATAGTGGAGACTTTGGAAGACCAGGAATTAAAAGCAAATCTAGAGATTGTTCATAACTTGCAGCAAGTTATTATCCAGCTATCGGTAAGCCAAATATAGGCAACATATATAGGTATTTATTGCTTTCATTTCTTTCTCATAGTATATGTACACATTTGTAACTGTGGCTTTTGTTTTAACAGCTACATTATGAGCTGCTTTGGACAAAGAACAAGTATCATTGAATATCATTCTGAATATTGAATTTGTTAAGTTACATATATACATGTGTTGTAATCCAATATGTAACCATACGTTACATATGCAATGACACATTAGTATGTTCACACTTTGCTTGACATCTACTATATGTTCTATAGTATATGATTTGGACATTACATAAACACCATTTTATAGACATGTATATAGATTTCTTGATTACAAATGTGTTCCATTCCAAGTCTGTCTCTAAGTTGAATTTGTACGTAAGATAGAACAATGCATATTGTTTATATTTTAACTAAGTGAAATTTTTTATGTGGTGTCTATTTCCATGCATAAAAACATTGAAGAAATACAGATACGTGAAAACATCTTTAACATAATAATAGAATAGTAATAACAATGTTTTGATGTTGTAAAGTAATACCAATTTCTTATTATGAGCTATTGGTATGTACTTTGAATGTTTAATATAATGGGCTTTATGGAGATTGGGGCCATGGGTGTATATGTTGTCAGATGTTGCCCTAGAGGACTTTTTGGACACATGACATTTCAGTCTTCTAAACCAACACCAAAATCAGCAATATTATAAGAGGCCTTGTACCATACTGCAATTTTAAATAACAAAGATTTTGACAGATAGGTTAGAGCACCCAGGGAAGAACATAGCTATATTTTTAATTAATATCGAACAAATGTGGTTACTTCACCATACATCTCTAAGTTCCCATTTTTATTTATTTATTTAATTCTTATGATTGTTTTGGTATTGTGTGTTTTTATTTTTGAGGGTAGAGGCAGGGATTATTATTTATTGGTTTTCTCAGAACGAAGGCTCACAGACTTTCTACTATTGTAAAAACATTTTTCTTTTGCTATTATAATTCTTAGTCTAATATCTTTTCAAATATCTTTTGTTAAGAATGGTGGTGTTGTTATTGTTAATAGGTGCTATTGAAAACTGGACAGTCTTCTCCCATGTAATTTACAGCCTCTGAAAAACCCCTAGAGAGTCAGCTATGAGTTAGTTCTGACTCGACAGCATAAAAATGATACTTATATGCATGCACCAGTTAGAAGCTGGAAGAATATTCTCTATTTGAATTATGGTGTATATGAAGAATATGAAATAGACTGTGAGTTGTCAGGACAATGAACAAATCTGTTTTGGAAGAAATTGTTGTTGTATACCATCAAGTCAGAACTAACCCATAGTTGACCCTCCAGTGGGTTTTCAGAGGCAGTTAATCTCATGGGAAGAGATTGCCATCGTTATCCTGCAGAGCGGCCTTGAACTACGTGCCTTCGGTAATGCAGCACAGCTTCTTACCACGGCAGCCAGAAATAATCCTTAGAATTGAGAGCATTGAGACTTAACTTTGACCTAATCATCAGAAGGAGACAGTCCCTTGATTAAGTCATCTGTTAGAGTTAGTATCCAGCAGGGACAAACCATCAGAATAGGATTTTGAGGCTAGACATAAAAACTGACCAGGCACAGAAGTGAGAATGTTTAACATTTCTTTTAGGGAAAGAACTTTGTTAGCAGGCTAGCAAAGACTACACTGATTATAGGCCGGTAGAGGCATATATAGGGTGTCCAAGTAGGGGTAGGTGAAATTTCTGAGCATCTTTCTAGAGTAGTACACATTTTTTAACATTCCTCCCCTACAGATGTTTTGATAACTATGTTATTCCCATAGCTGTTTTGATGACAGTATTACTTACCTAGCTCCTGTTACTTCCAGGAAGTTAGAAAGATTGGTGGAAAAATCACCGATTTGGGGAGACTGGTCAAATTATTAGAGTAGCAGTGTTTCAGAGGAGATCTATCTATCTATCTATCTATCTATCTATGCTATCATGCATGATGGCCATCAAGTGAAGTCCATGTGTATGGTCGCTGTTTGTGTTTCTTATAAGAGGTATTTGCAATGAGTAAGTCATTGTACAAAATTCTGTCATTCTGTCTCCAGCCTCATTTCTGTCACCAATCCATGTTTTCTAACTTCTGATCCTTCTTTCCTGTTGCCAACTTTTGCATTCCAGTTATTACGCCATTTTAATGTATCTTTGTTACATGTTCAATCAATTTCTGACTGGAAAAGTTAGTAGAAATCATCTATTTATTTCACTTTGTCTCTGGTTATTGGTGCATATATTTAAATGTTTATGGTATTAACAGGTTTTCCTTATATGCATATGGATATTGTTATCCTCTTGCTCACAATATTGTATTTGAAGATGGATCTAGAAAAGGACTTTTTAACTATGAATGTGACCCTCTTTCTCCTCACCTTTTTATTTCTGGCATAGTATTGTCTGATTCAAATGGCCCTGTGCCAGTCCGTATCATTTCATCAATGCCTAGTATGTCAATATTTATGTGTTCCATTTCTTCTTTAACAATGTCCAACTATGCTGCATTCATACTTCTCATATTCCACGTTCTAAATCACTAGTGTCTGTTTGGCCTATACAGGAATCAGATTATTTATATATATGAAAAGGATCAGTGGAGATGCTAAATACCAGCTGTGAAAGCTAGGCCAGGAGCTGATCATGGAATAGATCATCAACTATTTAAATGCAAGTTCAGGCTGAAACTAAAGAAAATTATATCCACAGAAACCAAAATTTGACCTTGGGTCTATCCAATTTTGAATTTCAAAACAATCTCAGAACAGGTTTGAGGTCTTGAACATTAGTGAGTGAAGACCAGATGAGCTGTGGGAGAATATCAAGAATATCATATAGGAAGAATGTAAACGGTCATTACAAAGGCAGAGGAAGGAAAATCCAAGGTGGAAGTCAGAGGACACTGTGAATGGTGCACAATAGCATTGAGAAGCCAAAGCAAAGGGAAGAAATTGGGAAATTAAGGTGCTGAGCAGAAGACTTCAAAGGAAATCAGGAAGATGAAGCAAAGTATTACAATGAGATGTGCTAGAGTCAGAAATTCAAAAGGGATAAACTCTCTCACCATTTCTTAAGCTAAAGGAATTGAAGAACAAATTCAGACCTTGCGCTCCAATACTTAAAGATGCAATGGGCAGGATATTGAATGATCCAGGAAGCATCAAAGATGGAAGGAGTACATGGAGTACCAGAAAGAATTGGCTGATAAGGAAGAATTTTCATGAAACAACATCTTGTCAAGGAGCAATAGTGATGAAAGAGGAAGTCCAAGCTTCTCTGAAGGAGTTGGCAAAAAACAAGGCTCCGGGAATTGATGGCATATCAATTGACATATTTCAGCAAATAGATGCAGCCCTGGACATGCTAACCTGGTTATACCAAGAGGACAACTACCTAGCCAACTGACTGGAAGAGATACATATTTGTTCCCATTTTAAAAATTGGTTATCTGACATTGTGGAAATTATCAAACAATATCACACACAAGCAAAATCCTGCTGGAGTTTGTCCAAAAATAACTGGAACAGTGCAAGCTGGGTTTAGAAGACGCTGTGGCACTAGGGACATTTTAACCAATGTCAGATGGATCTTGAACTAAAGTCGAGAGTACCAGAGGGATGTCTTTCTGTGTTTTATTGACTATGCATGGGGGGGATTTGATCGTGTGGACCACAACAAATTGTGGTAAACCTTTAGAAGAATGAAAATTCCAGAACCCTTGATTGTGCTCATGCAAAACCAACACTTGGACCAAGAAAAACTCAGAATACAGCAAGGAAACAACACATTTTTAAAAATGAGGAAAGGAATGCATCAGGTATGCATCCTGTCTCCATAGCTCTTCAGTCTATATACAGAACAGATCATTCGGGAGGCTGGGCTTTAAAGAGGAATATGGCAACAGGATTGGAAGAAGACTTAACAACCACCTGTGTTACACAGATAACACAGTCTGGCTCGCCAAATCTGAACAGGACCTGAAGCATTTGCTGCGAAAGGTCAAGGACTGCAATCTCCAATACAGATTGAAGATCAACAATAGGAAAGCATAGGGGGTGGGGTTTGGGGAGG